GGCAGTGGGCGCTTCTATCACCTCCTCATTTCATTTATTCTATATATCTTGTACTGCACTTTCCTCTTCACCCCCTATCAACACATCATCATTTTATCGATAGGTTTGTACTCCTTTCAGGATTTCTGTTTGTTGAAGCAGTTCAGCTGAGGCACTGTGAGCAGCTGTAGGTGAATGTTTATACCCTCGAGGGGCAGGTGATTAAAGGTGCATTGTGTTCCCTCCCAAGGAAATGCAAATTAGGGTTTATCTCCCTTCCCAAGTGGACCCATGAAGAACATGCCTTTTACATCCAGAACTGTCATCCATACGTGTTCAGCTGCCAGCAGGAGAGTTGTATGAGGAGTGTATCCTAAATATAATAATATCCCTTTGTTCTAAAGTTTTCATTACTTTATTTATCCCTTGTTTGGCTGCACAGGATGAATAGGGTGCTGTTTGATATTGGTCACAGCCAAAGCAGGTAAAACTGGAGCCATTTTTATTAGATCCATTTTTCTGGGTTTTTTTGCAGAAAATTTACTATATGGTGTTGTTTTTTTTTTGTGGGCCCGAATGACAAACATTCCCATTGGGCAATTGCCAAACTTTTCCTTTAAAGATGTCATATCCTAAAATAATCCGAGGTTGCAAATGTGTATGGGGACATCCACTTTCCCCCAGGTAACCATAAATGGACCCTGGCAGTATAACATGTAATACTCTGTCCATTGAATCCTGGTAAACACACCCCTGTTCTTTGAAAACTTAAGTTTAATTTTCCAGGCGATCAGAGACATTTGAGCTCCCGTAAAAATCAGAAAATTCAAAGGTTATTTCTAGGTCCTGCTGGTAAATAGATAAGGGGCCTGACCACTGGTAAGTCGTAATGTGCCTGGTCTTAATTATAGGTCTTATTTTTAAGTCTGGAACCCCTTCCTCTCTAGGAGGTGGGGATTCAGTTGTTTCATCCGAGTTCCATTCTGCCTCGCCAGCTTTTTAATCGGGGCTTTCCCAAATATCACCAGCCCAATCCTCAGGATTTTATTTTATTTTATTTTATTTTTTTTATTTCATTATACTTTATTTTACTTTATTTTATTTTATTTTGTTATTTTATGTTATTTTATTATTTTACTGTATTTTATTTTATTTTTTTATTTTATTTTACTTTATTTTATTTTACTTTCTTTTATTTTATTTTATTATTTTACTTTATTTTATTTTATTTACTTTATTTTACTTTATTTTACTTTATTTTACTTTATTTTTACTGTATTTTATTTTATGTTATTTTATTATTTTACTGTACTTTATTTTATTTTATTATTTTACTTTATTTTATTTTATTTATTTTATTTTACTTTATTTTGTTTTATTTTGTTATTTTATGTTATTTTATTATTTTACTGTATTTTATTTTATTTTTATTTTATTTTACTTTCTTTTATATTATTATATTTTATTTTATGTTATGTTATTTTATTTTAATTTTATTTTTCATATTTTTCTTACATCAGAGGATTGGGGGGGGTTTAATACTGTCGAGGTGTAATAATGGCATGGTTAAATGGGATACTGGGAAGAAAATCTTTAAAATACACAGAACATGATCTGACCACTGGAAAAGTATTCTGTATTTAGGTATTTAACATTCCATTTCCTGAATCTCCAAAGAAACTCAAAAACCTCTCCTTTCCTCTGCAAGAAAAATACCACACTGTGAAGATTCACAGATTTAACACCGTTTATGGGGACCCTTCACCGAGCAGTTCCCTGGGTCTGGTACAAATTATGAGGTATTAAACCTGAGATTAATTAGGGGTGGTTGGACTGACTTGTTCAGGGTCACATGAAAAACACAGAAACGCCCTCTTGGGTCTCCACACCTTCACTCGCCTGAACGGTTGACAGAATTAACCCTCTTTATTAATAAATTGTGAGGCTCGAAAATCGCTGGTGGCAGCATCTAACTGCAAAAATGTAATCAAAGCAATGCACAGACAAGCTCTGATCCCTAAGAAAAGCTGCCACTTCCATTGTCTTTTTACCCTCAAGCATCTTCCTACAAACTACTTCAAGAAATTAGGGCAAAAAACTAACTTTCATTTATTGAGGTATTTGAATAGAGTCAGGTGCCTTTCTGGAATGGATGTAAATAAACATGTAAAAGGTGAATGTGGGTGAACTAGCAGTGCACTGCTGTTTTAAAGCAAGGCTCAAAACACTTCAAATATTCATTCAGGGTGGGAAGAAGGGCATGACAGGATGAGAGAGTCGGGGCTGGTCAGCCTGGAGAAGACTCCATGGAGAACTTAGAGCCCCTTCCAGTACCTCAGGGGGGCTTACAAGGAGGCTGGAGAGGAACTTTGGACAAGAGTATGTAGTGATAGGACAAGGGAAAAAGGGCTTTAAGCAGAAGGAGGGCAAGTTTAGATTAGATGTTAAGGAATTCATGGCTGGGAGGGTGGGAAGGCCCTGGCACAGGTTGGCCAGAGAAGCTGTGGCTGCCCCTGGATCCCTGGAAATGTCCAAGGCCAGGCTGGATGGGGCTTGGAGAAGCCTGGGCCAGTGGAAGGTGTCCCTGCCCATGGCAGGGGTGGCACTGGGTGGTTGTCAAAGTCTCTTCCCACCCAAACCATTCCCTGGCTCTGTGACTCAGGGCTGTCCCTCCCCACCGTGCCCAGCACAGGGAACCGGCCCCTCTGTGACATCAGCCCTGGGCCAGGGGCACTGTGGGTGCTGTGGGCACAACGCTGGAGGTGACCCCTCGCTCCTGGCACTGCCCCGTGCGCTGCCACCGATGGCTTGGCTGTGGCTCCTGGTCCTGCTGGCCCTGGCCGGGCCCGTGGGTGGCACCTGGGACACCTGCGGGTCAGTG